CATTTTTATCTTAAGCAGTATTTTGAAAATGTGTGATTTGGTATTGCATATGCTTCCTATCAGCATAATATGATTATCCAGGTAGAAAGAAGCCTGGCATCTAGTTCTGCAGCATCTGCCCAAAAGGAAAATTGCTTCCCCTAATTTAGTCTGTGAAATGTAGAAAAGTTGGTGTTCTCAGGAAAAACTGTTCAACATACAGTATGTGGCAGATGAAAAACAAGTCAATAGATTTACAGGTAGGCTGGGAAGATGATACAGATGTGGAATAATTCTGTGAAATGAATTATCAGATAAAATATTTGTGCTCTAAATACATCCACATCGTCCATCCAGATGACACTGAGCCAGATCTTCAGGTCATGCATGTTAACAGAGCTCTGTCAATGGAGCAAGGCCAGTTGACACCTGCTGACAATGTGCCTTCCCTGTTTATAAAAATCATCTAAACCATGGAGCATGAACATACTGCTCCCCTCTAGTACTAAAGGAACCAGCTAAAACATCTCAGAACCATTAGCAGTTAACTAGCAGTTATCATGCTGCTCATGGGAGGTCCCAGATTACTGAAGAAGAACAAGACCGATGCTTTGTTTAAAAGGTTGAGAAAGGAGGACTCAGGGAATTGTAGCTCAGTCTGTTTAGTCTGATATGTGGAACAAATTATTATAGTAGAACTAACTAGTAAAAAAGTAAATTTCTGAACATGAAAGATACAGGATAAAATGGATAAACGGGAAGCAGGAAATGTAATCTATCTTGATGCTAGAAAGGCTTTGTTCACTGTTCCTACATGACACTATTGTAAGGAATTGGGGGAATATGGTTTTGGTGAGACCACTGCAAGAAAGGCATAGAACCAGCTGAAAACAACCGGCCTCAAAGAGGGATTTTCCATTGTCCACCTCAAGCTCTAAGGATGTTTCCTTGAGGTTCCTCAAATACTGAAATACTACTCAGCATTTCTCTAAATCACTTGGATGACAAGCGAGAGGTTGCACTTAATGAAATCAGTGGGTGACAAGCTGAGAGGGGTCACCATCATTTTGAAGGACAGCTTTTGATTCAGGCTGTGCAACTTGCTCCTGAGCCAGAAATAGAGCAGAGAATCAAGTGTTCCACCCCCATGGGCTTTGCTCCGCATTGTGAGAACTAAGCACTTCGGAGAACCTGGATTAATATCCCTAAAATGTCTTCATGTTAAGATGTGCTTTCTTTATTGTTTTCTTTCCATTTTTATACTCTGCCAATAAAATTCTGTTTTTTTTTAAACGGAAGTTTTCAGTAACAGCATGGATTTCCAAATGGATCACATCTCCAAGAGAGACTTAATTTTTTTCAAAGACACGACTCGCAGCAGTAAAACAAGGTGGTTTTCCTCCTGGCTGCCAGCCCTGCACACTCAGGCTGTGTTCTAAACACGAGGCTGTTTCCTTGCAGGCCAGTATCTCATGGCCAATGACAAACAATTCTGCAAACTCTTCTGTCAGGGACCTCAGTATCTTGTGTTTCCTCCAGTTATATTTATTTAGCACCATTCTGCATGCATGTCCAAATCCTCATTGCTTTCAGTTAGATTCCTTTCTTAGAGCCCTCTATTGTTTTTGCCATAAGAACAAGAGTAACAGGTGTATTTTTGTCAATACCCCATTTTCAACAGCAGAAAAATGAGCTGATTTGAAGAAATAATGAGAAGTGGCTACTTTATGAAAAAACATGTCGAAGAAATAGAGTATTGACCCATCTCTGATTTGTCTTAAAAGTGTCTCTGAATAGATGTGACTGGACAGATATGTTGTGGTTTTCCTTTTAGCTTAGAAGTGGAAATAAGTACTTCCTCACCTGACTACACTCAGCAGATCCAGATGCAGATGGACAGTTGGAGATAAAACTGATCTTCAGCTTTAGGGGAGGCCAAATAGAAAATGTGAACTGAGTACAATTCCTGACTAGAGCTGATGAGAAATTTTCCAAACAAAACCATGGTCTTAGAAAATGCTGATCTGTCGAAACCCAAATGTTCTGTAGATACTTTTCTGTTTTAATGGACGTCAAACCAAACCTAGATGGTAAGTACTTGCCTGGCAGATGGCTAGGTAGCCCATCCTTGCGAGAACTGTGGCTCTAGGATATCCTTGCTGCTTGGGCTGCTCCAGGGTCTGTAACCCGCAGGTCTACCTTGCAGAACTAAGCATCTGTAAACCATGCAAGCCCCATTTATAGTTTGGTTCTTGCCATCTCATTGTCGAGTATCAGCAGAGCTTCTAGCCCTAAAGGTGGCTGTAATAAAAGCAGTTTGTAAATAAGTTCATTATTGTTCTATGGCAATATTGTGGTTTTATGATTCTGTGATTTTGTGCAATTTTCTGAGTGTCTGGCAACCCAATGCTATGGGGCTTTTCTGGGGGCCTATAGACACTGTAAAGGTTCCTCCCCCCCCACCCCAAACACACAGTAGATCTGCTTTTCCTGGTAGACCTAGGGATAAACTAGCTTACGTGTGTCTGTTCTCCTAGAATTCAGGGTCGTGATCCATGTTGTCATTGATCACATCTTTTCTATGCTGCAGAAGAATATTCACTGGTGTTAGTCCATGTAAGTTAAACTGCTGCTATCGCTGACCTAGAGAAATGAATGGAAAACAAGATAACAACCATAGGATTCATAACAGGCTATTGTGTGCCAGAGAAACCTGTCCTTGTGAAAAAGAAATCAAGATCTGATATAGGGCAGCCTTAACCATATTCTACAGGTGAAATTAGTATAACTCACTATTGAAATGTTTTGGAGTTTTTTTATTAAGGACATTAAATTAGAATTAACAATATCTGCTGTGCTTTGCATGGAAAGAATAAACAGTGAGGGAGATTTATGTCCTGTTAGAATCACTTTACAGGTGATTATTTGGGAACTCTCTTCTTTGCAATATTTTGCAAACCAAGGTGTTGATCTGCAGAGATGAGTAAGCCTCTACATTTGCTTTCCTCATGTGATTGTGTTAATCTTGAAGTTGGATGCAGAGATGGAAAATGTCATCTTGCCACTATACAAATCCATAGTATTACCGCGTTATGAATGCTGTATTCAGTTCTGGTCTCCACCTGTGAAAAAGTATGAAGTACAGTAGAATTAGAAAAAATACAGAGATGGGCAACCAAGGTGATAAGGGGTACGGAGCAGTTGCCATATCAGGAGAGTCTAAAATGGCTACAAGTCTTCAATTTGGAAAGGAGAAGCCAACAGGGGGTATGATGGAAGTCTCTTTAGAAGTTGCAAAGGGCTGAGCAGAGTGAATAGGGAGCTGTTATTCATCAAGTCTCAGAATACTAGAAGGAGGTGGGAACACTAAAATTAGCAGGAGGTGGGTTTAAAACAAACAAGCAGAATTACTTTGCTATGCGTCTCACAGCTTAGCTTAGAAGTGCTTGCTTATTTTTGTAGACTAGATCTTGTCTGGGCTTTTGTGATGTTTGTTTGTCCATTTTCATTTTAAGCTGTGAGGTGCAGAAACAAAGACCATAAAGCCTTTGCCTGTAATCTTGTGTGAGATTTCCCATCTGAGCTTGTTTACAATAACATGGGCTCAGCAGTGATTTCATTGTAGTATTGCTAGCTAGTCACTGAGGAACAGCTGAGAGGGAAGAGCTAAAGGGAGGGTCTTTGGTCATACGTGGGAGTCCACACGAGCTGTATGTGCAGATGACATTTGGGGCTCCTCCTCTCCTTTCACCCCTTCCACATACCAACCAGATCTTAACCTGGGGTTCATCCTGTGACCCATAGAGTAAGGTGTCCCGAGCGGGTAGTTCAATCAGCAAACAAATTAATTATTTCAATTAACCTCCCTGCAATTCATTAAGTCCTTTAGTTAGTAGGCAGATTAATTCTTTCCATGGATAAGTAGATCCAATAAATTTCAATCAAATTTTACACAGATTAATCAATGCAATCCAAACTAGCAACAATTCATTAAGTCTTTCTGCTACTGAATAAATTAATTCTTGCAATAAATAAATAGTCCATATGGCTCTAAATTGATTTCTAGACAAATTAGGCAGTCCAGTCACGCTGTCCTGCCATTCATTAAGTCCTCCTGCTGAGGGGCAAGTCAATTCTTTCTACAACTAAAGAGTCAGTATAATCTCAGATCAACTCATATACAAATCAAAGGACTGGCTCCAGGTGCCTGAATGCCTTTGGGTCATTTACTCATTTAGGGTCTCATGTAGCTCCCTCCACTGTCCAGTGGAGCCAAGCACAGAGAGGAGCAGCTCATGGGCTTTGCTCCTGCCAGGCTGCACTGAACTCTCCTAGGCTTTGCGGTCCCTGCTGCCTCTGGTGCTGAAGGCACCTCCAAGCCTCCGGTCTGTGAAGCTTGTTTCTTCACCCACCTGCGTGGCGCCAGCCAAGATCTCATCGCCACGGGGCTTGGCATGCTGCCTCCATGCTTCCCTGTCTCTCCTGATCACAATTGCAGGATGCCTGGATATGACATCAGCCCTGGTGCACCCACCAATGCGCAGCAAGCAGGAGCTCACAAAGCGGGACTGCTGCTGCGCCTACCACTCTTCCACCGCCATCGTTGCCTCTGCACCACAAGCACCCTGCAGGTAAGTGAAGACTGTCTCCTGCCCTTACTGGACTCACCTTCACTCCCCTGGTGCCACTCAGGGAGCTTCCCAGGGTTCTGTTTCTCCAGGACCATTCTGCCCGATACCCCTTGAAGCATGAACTGAACTAATGTCGCTGATGTTAACATAAAGTATAGTAGTAGTGAAATGTAACCACCTTAGTCTTGTCCTGTAAGCAACTTGAAAACTCCATTTTGTATCCTGCTTGACATAAGTGAATGAACCCTGCATAGCCTTTATGTATGAGTGCGTGTAAAAGGGTGAATGGTGAGAGAATGGCATAGAGGCGGGAGATGAAGATTTGACTGTTCATGTAAGCAACAAGTTGCCAAATGTAAGTTACCAGTCAGTAAACTATTAAACTACTAATCCTTATTTATAAGCATAGTAATAGTAGTTTTCTTGCAATATGTTGTTCATCTCCCCTACTCCTGCCCCCAGCCATGTTATTTATAAGCAACAGTAAACTAATTCATAAATGGCTGAAGAATCCCTTTTAGGCCTAGGACACAAAGAAGATAAGGTTGACTTGCACCTTTGGAAGCTGTCTCTGTTGTACTCGTTCTGCATTTTGGGTGCGTAAAACAATGGAGACTTTCTTGGGACGTGATTCCAGCTTCAGCGAGCAGGGTCTTCCTACCCCAGTGCTGTGCTGTGTGGATGCCTTCACATTTCCAGAAGAGAATGAAGACTTGGGGTCAGAGATTTCATTGCCATCTGGTCCCAACATACCTCCTGAAGTATTCAAAGCAGTCACGTGTACTCAAGCTTTCAGCTGCAGTGTACCAAGCTTCTCCACCATTCCCTACCCGACCTTAACTTAATTGAAAATAAATTTCTTCCCCCGCCTCCACCTTTTCCCACCATGTATGTAATGCTTCAAAAGGTTTATGACAACTTTTGGGGGGGAACTTCCTTTCCCTTGGCAGTCCAGCAACAATACGCACTTCCAGGTTTAGATAATAGAGATATGTGACATACCAGCAGAGAGAAGACTCTAAGAATAAAGGGGAAGCTACTCATGAAAAACAATCTGACCATATGATGTATGTCCTTTTTGGCAGAATTACTGACATGGCGGGGGGAGGAGTAGGGGAGATGAACAACATATTGCAAGAAAACTACTATTTCGTAATACTTACTAATGATACAAGGAAGACAACATGCTGAATTGCCTTCAAAACTTTCCTTGAGATAAGATTTCTATTTTACTCCTTTTTTCGTAGTATATGGAAACCTCTAGTGATTAACAATTTTGTAAGTAGCATTGTACCACAAAGGCCTGTGCAAGCTATTCTGGAAATGCCACGATTAGCAAATTAACAGTCGTGTTTTCTAAAGGATAAACTTCCCGATGTTTAGTCAACATCCAAGGGGTTTTTAGTAACTTTTCCCCCTTATTTTTATTTCATACTAATATATTTATGCTTCTTAAGTTTTCTCAGGACTGTGCATTTCTTTAGTGTGCTGGTCTTAAATATGAGGCTAAATTTGGCTTCCTTTTTTTTAAAAAAAACAAAATAAAGTAAAAGTTTGGTTAAAGGTGTTGAAAACATAATTTGAAAATGACTGTCCCATAATACTTGAAAAAAATTCCAGTCAAAAGATAGCTCTGTAGAGGCAGTCCTCGGACTTATGACACAATTGGTTCCTGAAAACTATGTCTCAAGTCGAAACGTTGTAACTCGGAACCGTTTTTCGCATGTTATAAATGGGGGATTGGTTCCTGAACCAAGGCCCAATATCCTATTTTCACTAAAAATAACCCAAAATTTTGTACTGAATCAATTTATAGATGAATAATATAGCTACATTAATGCATTTGTATTGTAAATAGCAATAATATTGATTTGGAAGGACTTCTTTGAGGTGACTTTGCTAGACTTTTTGAAGAGCTCTTGGCTGGAGTCTTCTCAGGAGTCTTGGCTGCAGGTTTTTCTGGAGTCTTGTTGGCTTTCTTAAAGGAAGTGTCCAAGCAAGTTTGGAGAGAGGTTCTCCAGGGACATGGGTGAAGCAATGAACTTGTTCGCTGGAGTGGCGTTGCATCAGATCAAGCATAGTAAAGTCGAAACTGATGTCATAAGGTTGAAAGAGGGTGTCAATTTATAAAGGTTGTAAGTGCCAAACGTTGCAACTCGAAACGTTGTAAGTCAAGGACGGCCTGTATTATTTTCCACCTATCTGTGCAAACTCACGCTACCACAGTTGTCAAAATGCACACGACATGGTGGGAAATTGAAAAAATAGACAGTGTTAGTGCATGCTGCTTCTCCTCTCTGCAGTCCTCTCAAGGAATTCCGTTTATGTGAAATTAAAATTTCAGACTTTTATCAGTGTTTCATGTTGACGTTATCTTCCCGAAGAATTAAAAAGGTGGCAAACCTGGGTTTTGTACCACAGAAATCTCCTTGGAGCTGTGAGACAGCAATAAATATATGATATAGCGCATTCAGTGTAGAAAAAAGCTAAGATTTGAAATAAAAGGCTGGATTCCCACGCTATTGCATGCAAATCACAGCCACGGGCTCCACTGTGTTTTGGAAGGGTCACTGTAGTACATTCAGAATTATTGAGGAAGTATTGTGTCTTGTTATATTTACACTTTGTCCAGTTTGTGAATTCTAGTATAAAATGTTTTCTGTTCTCATTATGCCACTGAAATTGGTTTTCCCAAAGTACAGTAACAGTATGAGCCTTGTACTTTGCAAGTGTAAGCATTAATCTGCAAGTGAGTGGAAATTGCCAACAAATGTGTTCATTACTCCAGGTGGGAGGAGGTGCAAGTGGCAAAGGACTGGAGCACTTGTTAAAATTGGTAGAATAAGTAGGAATCAGAACCGATTACACTTGCAAGTGTTTTAACTTTCCAAAATGCAAGCAGAACGGTTGTGTTTGGCATCCTGCACAGACTATCTCCAGCTGCCCAGTCAACAACATCTGGATGTGACGGATTCCAAGAAGTGCTTCAGAGGAGTACCTGCAAGCTGATTTTATATATGGGGGCAGTGGGGAGGTTGGAGGTGCAGTAGGTTTCTTCCTGACCTCTTTGGGTGTTCAGCTGTGATCCTGAAGCATGAGCTTTGATTATAATGACTTGTCTTAATGAAGAACTGCAAGTGTCATGAGTGCATTGGGAGCCGCGCAGGTAACCCCAACAGTAACTGTATTCTGTTTTTAAAACTATGCTGCGCACACAGTTTTGTGATCAAGGCATGAGGTTGGGAGCTGGGGGATCTGAGCTTGCTTTTTCTGATCCCATAGATCCCCTTTCATGAAGGAACAAGTGACTTTATTTCTTTCTTCCTCTGCAAAATGGATGCAATGCTTAGTTGCTATAGTGGGTTGACATCCTTGCATATAAACTGTGCAAGCAGAGCAAAATAAATTGCCTTTTTCCCTCTGATTTGTTTTGCTAGAAGTTCCATGCCTCTCTCTCTCCCTCTCTCTCTTTCTCTCTCCAGGTCTGGAAATGCAGAGACGTGAGAGAACGATGAGTGTGTATCAACAAATAAAAGTGCTCTTAATCAAAAATGTCCGGATCCAATGGAGAATGAAAAAGCAAAGCTTTCAGGTGAGTTTACAAAGGGAAAG